AGTGTTTTACCCTCATCACACTCCCCCACCCCCCGCTTCTGACTCTACGCTACTTTTCCCACTTGGAGTTAATTGAGAAATTCAACGTGCACTTTGGTTCATCGTTTTTCTTCAGTCCACTCTAGACATGCAGTTCTTATTGATCAGCCTGCAGCACTGAGGGTAAAACACTGCTGCACCCCCTTCAGGTAACACTGAGACAGACTCCCACAGTTCCAGTTCCATCCTTCAGGTGTGATTTTTACACTACAAAACACTGCAAAGAACCGCAGTGTCACACGTGACACTGATCGTCACTCTCCCATGTAGTAAAGGTCAGTGTTTGTCCTCAGAGTCACGTCTCCGTCGGCCCGGTCTCAGTTCTTTAGTGCAAATTGAAGTTGGACACAAACTCCCTCTCACATCAGACGGCAGCACAAATGTAAACCTGCCGAGTTTCACATAAACACTCTTCATTTTAGAACAACTGGGGAATGTGAAACTCTGTCCTTCCTGGCAGAACACCAACCGGACGGCACGAGGGGGGGTGGCGGTGGGGGCGGGGAGGTTATATCCATAAAAGCCATTGTCATTTGACTCGGAGTCAATCTCTTGAGACCTCTTATGAAAAAAAAACAGAGAGGGGAAAAAAATCTTTGAGGAGAAACCTCTTTGCCAACATCATTCCGGATGTGATCATTATAAGAAGGAATTATTTACTCCTGTTTTATGAGGTGGGAATGTTTATAAAGGCTTTCCATGAAAGGCAAACAGAAACATCCTTCCAGAAACTTCATCTGATGGAATGCGGTGGAGGAGAACTTCTTTGGCAAGTCTGGAAATGCCCGGGGAAGAACGGAGGGACGCAGTACAGACCAGCCGCTAATTGTGAGTCCAACACTGGAATCGGTTCTTGAAGAACAGGAGGCCAATTTTTGATTGCGTGACATCAGAAGAATCGGGCGAGTAGCGGAACTTGGCGTAAGTCTTGTCGCTCTCCGATTGGCTCACCCAAGGAAGTTTGATTTTGGATGCGTGACTGATGATGACGTCGTCGCATGAGCCCACGTGCAGTGTCCCCAGGCCATCGATGAAGAATTCTGAAAAAAAACGCAGCACATTTTAACCACGTCTGTTCAAGCACAGATACATGTATATTATTATGGCCAAACACAGTGTTTCGCTGTACTCACCCATGTGAGCAACCCTGGCCAGACGTGGGTCAAACCCAACCTGTTGGACTTTGTCAGTTCGGGCCAGAAAGAAGTTAATGACCCCGTCGGTGACCACACAGTTGGGGAACCCTTGGATGACGTGGTGAAAGCCCCTCCTCATGTGTAAACAGTCACCGTCCTCCTCCCCTGGTTCAATGGAGATGGTCTGTCTGTAGGTGGACGTGTAGCCAGTGACCTCCTGCACTGCACCGCCAACCTGAACACACACACAAATACACACACACATGAACACTGTGACATCATATATATACAGTATATATATATATATATATATATAGGATGCAGTGAGGGAGGACATGCAGATAGTTGGAGTCAAAGGAGAAGATACAGAGAACAGGAAGAGATGGAAATCAATGATTCGCTGTGGCAACCCCTGAAAAAGGGACAAAGCTGAAAGAAAAAGAAAAGAAGAATATAATATAATATAATAATATATATAATAGCAATTTATAATAATATGTCTTTTTGACTGACATCATATATATATATATATATATATATACATATATATATATATATACATATAAACATATATTGGTTCCATCTATTGGTTCCATAGTGTAGCGGTTAGCACGCCTTGCAAGCAGAGGGTCTTAATAGCACCTCTAGTGGCAGCCTGTGTCAGTTGCATTGTAAATTCTGCCATTGTTCCGCCAATATTAATATTATTAGTAGTAGTAGTAGTAGTAGTAGTAGTAGTAGTATTACTATTTTCTTTTTTTTAACATTATCTCATCATCTCGACCCCACATTGTTCTGTCACTGCTGTTAGAACATCTTCTGTGCCTCACCAGATCCAGAGTGGTTCTTTCCAAAATGTCCACAAGTTTCTCCAGCTTGGTGTTGGCGGTGAAGATGAAGTCGTCGTCCACCCACAGCACATACTTTGTGGTCACTTGGGAAATGGCCAGGTTTCTTCCAGCAAACCAGCCCTGTGGGATAAGACCACCAGCTTCAGCCTGACAGTCGACACTCAGGGCAGAGGAAAAATAAATGCCCCCCTCTCCTCCCTTTCCTGCTCACCTTTCCAAAAGGCATAATGTAGTGTTCGATGTGAGGCCCGGAGATGGATCTTGGATTTTGACTGTCATCAGCGATGATGATGGTGACTGTGGGATAGAACCTTCTGATGCTGTCGATCAGATCTTGGAGCTTGTCGTAACGCAGGAACGTCTTGGTAGCTATTGTAACCAGAGCAGTGATATTGTAGTCTGCAGAGACGGGTGGTGAAGAAGGAAGAGGGGAAAAAAAATATTTGAAAACTACAGAAACTATTTCAAACAGGAGAACTTCTCACTGGGGTTGTTTTTTTGTTTTGTTTTGTTTTTTTTTTCACCTCCGTTGGCTCCAGTGTTGTAGAGTTTAGGTGTTACACCGTGACGGATCTTGATGGTGAAGACGGCTCGATGTCCTTCTGTCTCAATCTGCACTGAAAGACAAGAAATACAAGATATAAGTAGAAGACCAAGACAGAGTCAGACTTCAAATGACTGAGACACAGCTGCACAAGTCCATAATCACCTGTATGTGGCGCAATTTTCAAATATTAAATGCTTCACTGCAGAACACATTTGGGGAGAACTTGGCAGCTGGTGGACTCGAACCTGAAACCTTCCGAAACCAAGGCCATTTCCTTAACCACCTATCCACCACCGCCCCCCTGTGATGTCACAGGAGCCTGTGTTCTCACCTGTGTCCGCCGTGCTGGGGTGGAACAGCGTGTTGGAGTAGGTGACAAACTGCAGCTGGCGGTTCAGGTTGGGCAGCAGGCGGCTGGACAGACTCATGTGCATCTCACCGTCGCCTTTGATTCTCACCCCGTCCACCTGCGCTGCCACGTTCAGCGTCCCCAGAGCAGCAGTGATGTTTATCTGTAGTCACACGGAGGGAAATCAGTTTGAGTGAGGAGCCGCAGTGACGTCTTAAATATGTGGACGAGGACGAGGACGAAGAAGAGAGTGAAGTACTGACTGAGTGAAGGTCTCGGGGGACGTCTCTCAGAGCCAAGCCTGAGTCAACAAAGACATAAGAGTTCATTAACTAAGACATGATTATTAAGCCGATTAATCTTCATCACTTAACGATCGCAGCGTTCTGACCTGGAATGACGATGGTTTTCAGGGGCCTCACCTCCACCCCTTGTGTGGGATACTGTAAAGGACTGTTAGCTTCTGCCACAAGAAGAACATCTGACGGCGTCTGAGACCTGAACATGAACACAAGCCTGAACGTCAGGAGGAAGTAGAGAGGAACCTGTGCACAACACACGCTTAAAACTAACAACACAACCTGTAACTAAAGGGTCTTCATCCTGGTGCTGTAAAAAGTTCAATAGTGGTACCAAATATCAGGCGCGTGGGCCGCTTTTGGTCCACAAACCCTTCAAAGCTGGCCCGTGACTATATGTACATAATTATTTGAATTTGATTTTTTCAATATTTAAAATGTTTTAATCTGGGGTTTTCCTCCAATCAAATGACGGTAATAATTAATAATAATTAATTGGTCAAAATTAAATATGGGGTTTTCCTCCAATCAAATGACGGTAGCAGCAGTGACCCTCGGCTCATGGGTTTGAGACCCCTTATTTAGAAGTCTACGCTCATTAGCATAAGTGGGAGTGTTATCTTTAAAAACAGGATTGGAAAAAACAAACAAACACGTTGTTTCTTTCCGTAGCCCACGCGTCCTCTCTGGTTCCTGCACCTACCTCTTCAGGAAACTCTGGTACTCTTTGGCCCGTCTCCTCTTTATTTCATCCAGCTGTGTAGCCTGAAAGGCCGTGTGCAGGTGTTGTGCCGACACCCGAGGGAATAGGATCTGGGCGAACGGCAGGTTGACTCCTGCACTCTCACCCTCACAGACACAGCTGTTACGTGCCAACAAACTGAAAAACAAAACAAACAGAATAAGTGTCAGGTTCAGTGAAGTGGAGCCAACAGGTTCACCCAGCTCCTCGTCCCGCTCACCTGGCCACGTTGTCCCTCACATGGAAGGGAATGTTCTCTAACTGGTGGTCCACTTCTGGAAGCCTCTCCTCCAGACGCTTGTCTACTAACAGACCTGTCCGCTGCCACACGTCCACCGTGGTGTAGGCTCGAGTGGGCCACGAGTGCAGGAGGGCCAGGACCAGGACCACGGAGGCCAGAATGGCCAGCAACACTGTCTTCTTCACCGACCGCATCCTAAAGCCTGGCACCAAAACAGACGGAAGGTGAATCAAGAGTTTAAATCATTTAATGTTAGCTGTAAAATGTTAATGATAAAATGTAATGTTATTTTTTCATTGCTACCATAGATGTTAGCATCACACATTTTTAATGATCCATAATAGATCATAACAGAATGAACAAATGAATACAGTAAATACAGAAACTGTTAAAATAGATCTAAGTGAATTTTTTTTTTTGTAAAATTTTAGTGGCGTGGACATGAAGAATAAAGTTAATTGCACAATTTAAGCCTTTTTTTTAAAAAAAATGGCCCTGACTGCCCCAAACATCAGCTTGTAAAATAATTTAAAAGTAAAGTGAATTTTGTACTTTAGTACTTTAATACTATATATTTATATATTTGGGAGTCTGGACATGCACAGAAAATCTTTATCAAAATACATAAACCAGAGAATCTGAGGGGGAAGTGTTATCTCACAGCAGATGCTAACCTCACTCGCCACCTGGATCACAGTTTCATGGCCATCTATTTTTATCAAACTTTTTTTTTTTTAATTGCTCTAAAAATGAACACCAGTTTCACTGCTTTTTCCAAACTCCTTGCTCAGCAGCTCTGACTAATTCCCTGATGTTCTGACTAAAGTAGAACCAGCAGTCGTCACAAAAACCATCTGCTCTCACAGCACAAAAACCAACTTTCTAAAGTTGTGTTCATATTTTCAGCTACTTCTGTTTCAGTAAACGTCGTCGTTACTATCTGGTCACGTCGGGTAAAAAGCTGATTTTGTCAGACTTAAAAATCAAGAAAATCAAAAATTCAAATCATACAAACCATGCTGCTGCTGCTGAAAAGGCGAGGGGAATGTGGAAAATTATGCTGCTGCTGCTGCTGCTGCTGCTGCTGCTGCTGCTGCTGCTGCTGCTACGATTTGGTGCAAAAAAAGAAACGAGAATGAACTTGGCCTCCGTTCAGTTAAACCTCTGGGGATAAAACCACACATATTGTGTGTAATCATTTAGTTTGAACAAAAATATCTGTGACATGGAGAAAGAAAAAAACCCAAAAACAAGTTATTCCCAGGATCCTTGGCTGTGTCAGAAAAAACAGCTCAGCATTTCAGTCCTCAACCCCCTGACCAGCGGCAGGATGTTTCCACACTCCTCTGCCTTCCTCTGCCTTGATTCTTGATTCCAGTAGTCGTACGACTTCTACACATTGTTGTTCTAGGACAAAGTGAATCCTGTCCTTACCTTTTACAGCTGTGAAGAACCTACTGTTGAGTCTGGACTGGTTAAGACTCTGAGGTATGAGGGTTTTTTTTTTTTTTCCCCCTCAGCAGTTAGGTTAATCTCAGATGACATCTATTTTTTTTATGCATGTGAGTGAACATATGGGAGTGTCTGGGTGGAGGGTGCGTGCCGTATGATTTTTTTTTCTTTTCTATGCAGTAATTCTATACTGTAATACTTAAAAACTAGTATCACATTGATAGATTTTAAACACAGATTGAATGAAATTAGTTTTGGTTTTTTTCTTATGTCCAATGTACATTTTGGGAATTCAGAATTCAATATTTTTTGATAAAAAAGGTAAGTGTAGATTTACACGACATAAGAGAAAAAACATGACAATTTATAAGTTTCTGCTAACTGACTATGGCTAACAGTTAACATAATTACATTCATACACAGACTGAAACAAGGAATATAGATAGATGGATGGATGGATGGATGGATGGATGGATAGTGTAATGACAAAATTATATTCTTGTGTTATTATTCACCATTTGACTTGCACTGAAACTCATGTTGTCAGTGGAAAAACACTGAAACGACAGCCTGACCTTATGATAGCCAGTGATGGGAACTCTACTCATTATCGTTTCTCCACTTCCTGTAAGGCCTTAAAACTGTATCCACATGCTCATATTTTTGTGCCCACACACACAAATGTATCCCAACACACTATAAATGTAACGTGCACCAGCACCCTTGCCTTCGGGCGCTCTCAGACAAGTACAGACAAGTGCTCGTGTTGCTCTCTGTAAAACCTGCGCCCCGGAGCGTCATCAAAGCTTCGACAGCAACTTTCAATAAATTCTCCGATAAACTCTTTAAGACGAACAACGTCGTTCGTTGTATTTTTAATTAGATATCAAAATTAAGAATTAATATTATTATCAGTTGTATTTTTAGTTAGATATCAAAATTAAGAATTAATATTAAGAATATCAAAACCTATGGTTATGTACTTCTCTTAAGAATTTTTTTTTTTTACTAAGTCTGAATATAGTGAGTATTGTCCAATCCCACAGCCTTTAAAAAAACCCTATATATATAAATTAAATATTGCCAAAGACAATAAATAATGCGTAGCTGTCTTACATCGGTCAAAGATGAAAAGAAAATAGGTCTGTAATTAATGTTGAAGACTGTAAAATATGACATACCTAACTGCCTCTAACCGTTCAGTGAAAGGGAATCCACCGTAGGAAGCAGCATCTCCAGAAACACGTGGACGTCTTCCACATCTGAGAATAAGATCAAATAAATGACGTCATTCAAGAATGCATGGTTAAAAAAAAAAAAAAATAAAAAAAAAAACGGTTTCACAAATGGCTCTGGATAATTGCATCAAGCATCCATGTGGTGCTCCCCCGGGGGGACACGCCCCAGGGTTTGAGTGTGACTAGCACTGAGGAAAAAATCAATCCAGAGAACAGAAGGACTAAATCAGCAACAAGAAGCCAATCAGACTGGATGTTATTAGGATTCAACCCCAAATACAACACAGAGTCAATTTCACTTCCCGTCATTAGAGGTCACCAAAGCTGAAGTCTGCTGTGATTTGGCTTAGTTTGTCTTTTTATATAAATACTATAAATCATACGAAACTAAAAATAATTGAATTTTTTTTTCAATTATTATCAAAGTAAACATTGAACAGGAAATTAATTTTTCCTAGCTGCGTTCCCCATCCCGGTAATAGCCCTCGCCCCTCGCTTTGGAAACCACCATGAAATAGTGATAACAGACTGAAGACACTTTTATCATGTAGATAAAATTGATTTAAAGAGACACATCTTTGAATAACACGCATTACTGTGAGTAGACACTTGAAAAAAAAAGACTACTCCGTGGACATGACAGGAGAGAACACACTCCTCCCCCACCCGCTCCTCCTTTTGTCAGATTGGTTGTACGTCGCATTCAAAGCAGTACGTATAGAAAGAAAATTAATAAATTATTCATCCCCCACGGATTCTGCCCCCACAGAGACAACCCTATAATTAGCCCACAATTCACCCCCGTCATGCAACGGGGTCCTGTAAGAACCCATCTGTGCCTGTGCAAGTGAGGCGCTCCAATTAGGAACTATACTGTAAAAATAAAAAATAAAAAATGAGGAAAATTCCTCGGACGTTGTCGCCCTTCTCCTCTTCCTCCTCCTCCTCCTCCTCCTCCACCCAGCCAGCATCCACAAACATAAGGACGTGTCAAAACAATGTAATAATGTGTGCAGATATTCAGGCCATCGAGCCTTCATGTCTGGCTGCAGATGGAGGCTGTAATGACACAGGCCTGTTATCATCCTTTTTCTTCTGAGGAATAAGAAGAAAAAAATATGACATGTTCAAAAATGCGACGCATCTTCTCAGAACGTCTGTGACGTTTGTCCCTCACAGACATCAGATCCGGTTCGTTTAAAGCAAATTAACGGGTAAATACAGCGGTTTGTGAACACACACACACACACCACACACCACACACACACCCCCCTTCGACCCCATTGTTTAAATGTCTTTAAATCTTGAAGTCTCACCTCACTGATGTTCCACAGACACAAACACAAATACAGGCCGGTGTGTGTTCCTTTCATTTCTACAGTAATTACTGCAGCTCACCTCAGCACAAAGATGCGCACGGAGAGTCCGTCCACCCCCGGTCTGCATGGAGAGCGGACGAGGTTCTCAGTGGTTTTTGCAGAAAGGGAAACGAGAGTGACGTGAAGCAGCAGCGGCAGCAGCGGCAGCAGCGGACAGAGATGGGCGGACACGTTTACAACAGCCCTGCAGACAACGGACGGACGCTGCCCTGCAGCATCAGCAGCATCGCGGAGGCAGGAAGGACCGGACCGCACCTCGACACCGTCACAGCGTTCAGACGCCGTGGCTCCACGCCTGACACGCGCACACAGACGCGCGCACGTTTCTTAATTGCATATTAAAACTCTAACCAGTAAATACCCTCCCCCTCTACATCGCCCCCTATTGGAATAGCAACTTCATAGCAAACTGTGTATTTTAATTGTTAGTAGGAATCCTACGCTGACACAGTCTTTCTTGTATATGTAGTGTCTATGAGACAATGTCCAGCAGTGGTTAATGTGTCCGTGAATTTAACCAGGGTTGTTTGGAGCAGATGTATCTGTTCAACTTAAAGCTGTAACATCTGAAATAAATCCTTATATGGGTATGAAACAGATTTGTTTACCTTTGGGGACTTAGGTTTCTCCAAATTAGGAGGAAAAAGCTGATGTACACGACCACGGGTCTCCAAGAAGAGAATAGAAGCAGGAGAATTGGAGGAGACTCATATTGGCTCAGAGTCCACTCCAGGCTGTACTTCATTGCAATAAACTCATCTATCTGCATTTGAGTTGGTGTCGGCGGAAATTCCTTAACTTTTCATCTTTACATCACCAACAACGAATATATTAAAGATTTTATTGCAAATAACTGCAGCATCAAATCAGGTAACATTCATAGACTAAACTTCCTAAATTCTAAATCTCCCAAAGGGAACTCTTGGAGATTAATAACATGGACTAAACTTCCTAAATCCTAAATTTCCCAAAGGGAACTCTTGGAGATTAATAAAGGTATATCTATCTAGCTATCTAACAATAAATACCACCCGCAGGTGGCGCTATAAACAACTATTATGAATGCAATGAATGGGTGTGTTTGATTGATCTGATTTCCTCAACAAGATAAAACTTGCCCAGGTGCAATGAATGGGTGTGTTTGATTAATCTGATTTCCTCAACAAGATACAACTTTTTTTTTACATAAACTAAGCTAATCAAAAATTGGAGATAAGCAATTCATTTTATTTATTAAAATCCAGACATGTCACAGTCTTATCAGCACAGATGGCTTTGGTGAAAACACGGCTGGCAAGAGAACAATTACCCAGAGTTCCTTCTGCCTTGTGGAGCTGTACATAATGCATTTTAAATGATGGGATTGTTTCATACATTTTTAAAGAGATACAACATAGAATATCTTCCTTTGTGTTACTGGATATAATGCATTCCACGGCCACATGTGATAACATTAATTATACAAAATTATTTTTCAGTTCAATTAAACTAAGCCTTTTTTTTTTGGTTTTTCACTTTTATGTTTTTGCGTTTTATTTGCATTGCTAATTTACATATTTTTTATAAGCTTCGTTTCTGGAAATCTTGTTTGTTGTCGTTGCAAATGGCACTTCTCTAGTATTTGGCCAGAAATTCATGCACCACCAACTCATTATCAACTCGTGGCTAAGTTTATATATATATATATATATCTGGCCAGTTACTAGTTTGTGATGACTCACAACTTCAAAGAAACCGGGAAGTAGGCACCGCACTCCGCCGCGTACGTGCGTTGTGAACCGACGCACACGTAACACTTGACACACACTGACTGGCAGGGAAATGAGCGAATCAGCAAATAGCAATCGTCTTTCGACCAATCAGCTTCCAGCGTGTCACGCACTGCATGTTTTGTTGCTGCCCGACTAACGGGGTGGGTATGACCAACATACAGTCGTCATGGCTGCCTCTCTGGTTCGATGGCTGAAGAGACTGTGCGTTTTCTTGTTAATATGCCCCCTCTGTGTTCCAGCGTTCCTAAATTTGGAGGAGCTGAACGAGATGAGATATGGGATTCAGATTCTCCCCGACCCCGTCATCTTGGGCCAGGTTAGCGGGGAACGAGTAGGGTTTCTTTGTGGAAGCTCACGGCTACCTTGTTAGCCGGGGCATAGAAGGCTACTGTTAGCAGTTACTCACAGTAAATGTATTTGGTTTAAATGTAGCTAAAACAACACATGTCTCTTGACCATTTGTTATCTCCCTGTTAGCATATTCTGGATATAAATATAGTGAAATTGCACGTAAAAGTGACATTAATGCTGCGGGACAATTATTAGGAAGAACCGTTGACAGCTGTCGCTACATAATCTACCACCAATTATACTATTTTGTTTACGTCACAAACACGTTTTGTTAAGTTTCAATGGTCACTAATCGACCCTGTCTCCTCTGGGAGATGTGGGAGACATTGATATGTATAAATATTTTTGTAAATGTTTTTAATTTTTATGTGGCTGTGTTTCTCCTACAGACTAAAACAGAGGAAGTGATGATGGTGTCCAGTAAATACAAGCAGCTGTACGAGTGTCGGCTTCCAGCCCAGGCCCTGAGGTTCTACCAGGACTCTGCCTCTGAGCCAGAATCTCACGGCTACACCGGACCAGACATTCCAGACCTGCTCAGTCCTATGCAGGACGCCCCATGTCTACTGAAGGTGGGCTGCTCCTCATCTGCGTGGGCCATAAATATAAGCGCTTACTTAGTTTACTTAGTTTACTTAGTTGGTTTTTTTTTTTAATAGCCACCACAAATCTTCTGTACTGAAAATGACGTCCACATGTTGATACCCTTTTTTGCTGGCATTTAAAACAAAATGCTCTAACAGTTGAAATGTTACTTTATTTATTAGCAGCTGTGGTCGTCTTTATTATTTTTTGCATTAACTAACGTTCATACAGAACAAAGTCTTTTAATGAAACCTTTGTGTACAAATCACCTTGTAAGGGATTTACAATATTTTACTTTTCACAAAACCAGATATTTGTAAGGGATTTACAATATTTTACTGCATGCCTGAAACAGATTTCTTTTCACAAAACCAGATGAGCTTCTTTCAAAGTATTTTTTTTTTGTTTGTTTTTGGTTTTATTCCAAGGTTCTGTGCAGCCCTACCTCCGTTTAGCCGCTGAATTTTTGAGATTCTTTTAAACATCCTTCACCTGCTTTGAAACGTTTAACAATTTATTTTCTGAAGCCTAAACTAAATTTTTCACATTTTCTCCGAGGCTGCTTTCAGAGGTTACAGCTTAAACTCTGATCTAAAGAGAATATATTTTAAGGGTTTTAAGGTTTTTGTAGTTTTTGAGATTACTCTGGACATTGGGTCAGTAAAGTGATTCAGTATTTTATCCAGGGTCTTTGCTAAAAAGAGCTACATAAATAGAGACTGATGGGACTTTTCTAACACTGCTGCTTTAATAGTTTATCTAATCCAGGATTATATTCTTAGAATCATACTAAAGTCACACATGTGTGCTCTCTGTTTTTCCCACAGACCAAGGACTGGTGGACTTATGAGTTTTGTCACAGTCAGCACGTCAGACAGTACCACCTAGAAGGTACCGCGGTGTTGTTTACTTTGTGTGTTTAATATTTGTCTACAGTGAAAACGGAGCTGGTCTTTGACAGATGTTGTTTGGTTTTGTCAGACACAGAAATCAAAGGTGACGTCCTGTTTCTCGGTTACTACGAGTCTGAATTTGATTGGAGCAACGAAACAGCGAAGGTAACGCTGCCTTAGTTCTGCTTCTGCATTTAGTTCAACGTGAGGATATTGTCGTTAACCTCAAATAAAGTTGCATGTTTGTATTAGGTGAATATCACTGTTAATGTGATGTAAAATATATGTGTTTTTACAAAATATATTTATTTTTGAATTGATAATTTGCATTGTCAGAAGTATGGTTTCAATCCTGGCACTAAATATAACCTCACAGGGAAATGCAAATAAGTAAACAAATTTCAAACTTTTTTTTATTTCTTCACTCCAAGGCCTCCAAGCAGCACAGATTGAAGCGTTACCACAGTCAGCGCTACGTGAACGGCTCCAAGTGTGACCTCAATGGAAATCCCAGAGAGACTGAAGTCAGGGTGAGACCTTGCTGACATTTTATGGGTTTTTTTTTTTACTCTGGCAATCAGGGATTATGAGAAAAGTTTGTTTTAAAATTCTTAAAAAAAATTAATTTTCTAAATTATTCTGTTTTACTTGTACGATTTCCAGTTTGTCTGTGAGGAAGGCTCGAGTGACTACATCGCTCGAGTGGACGAACCACAGTCGTGCCACTACGTACTGACCGTTCACACCAGCCGCACTTGTCAGCATCCATTCCTGCGACCGCCTACCACTGCCAAACCCCAGGGCATCGTGTGCCAGCCGGCACTGAGCGCTCAGCAGTACATGGACTATGTCAAGGCTCAAGTGTGTGAGTTCTCAGAAACACTAACTCTTATATGAAACCATAGCATATCTTTTTTTTTTTTGTAAGTAGAACTCTGGACAGGTTGAACATACAGTTTCATCTGAAGGGTAAAGTTTTTATAGATGTCACAATAGGGATGCATCATGAATCTGTTAAAAATCGATACAAATGTGTGACAATCATCTGAAGGGTAAAGTTTTTATAGATGTCACAATAGGGATGCATCATGAATCTGTTAAAAATCGATACAAATGTGTGACAATTTGGTTAAAGAAGAAAATTGGTTAAAATTGGCAAATTGGTTAAAGCAGAAATACTCATCAAGGCTAAGGAGTTGGCTGCGTTATCTCAGTAGTCATGACACCATGACTCTACAGGCTCTCGTACAGTAGGTGGCGGTATGCGCCTAAAAACGTTGGTTGTGACCAGCAGACAAACATTGTGTTTCTGTAAAAAAAAAAAGGATTTCCCCAAAATTAATATTTTTATAAGGTAAAGAAAACGTTTCTGTAATTAAACTTTTTAACATTTTTTTTGTCTTCTGTTTATTAAGATACAAATAAAGAATCAATGTATTGGTCATAATTTGTAACTATATATTAGCTTCACATCGTGATGACTTAAATAAAACAGGCATGAAGTCTGGTGTGGGTTCAAATATTTTTATCAATGCCTACACTTTCTCATTAGAAAAATATTTAAACCATTTTAATATGGCTGTCAAAATCCACAATGATTAATTTATGATATTAATTAGGTTAAAATATCTAATTCATACACAGATATGACACACACTGTATATTTAATAATTTAATTGTTCATCCTCTTATCATCAGCTTTTTCACACAAACATAAAGTCAAACGAATGAACATGTTTTTTAATTCAACGTGTCTTCACCCGTTTTCTTTTTGCAGCCGATACAAAGCGTAAAGTGGAGCAGATCTCTGAGGAGCTGAGAAGTCTGGACGAAATGTTGGCTGTGAAAGAAGGCAGTGACAGAAAGGCTGAAGAACCGGTTGAGGAGACATCAAAGGAATCCACTGCTACTGCTGACACGGAAGGTGCCATAAATAACTTCCCTTAGATTGTTGTGGTATTTTACAGTCTGCACGTCAGTGTTGTGGTTATTTTTATGACATTTGTCTGCTTTAATTCTGTAATAGATGCTGTTGATGTGTCGGATGATGATGCTCTGTCTGAAGAAGAGGCAGAAGACTCTGAATTTTGGGAGGGAGTCACGAAACCAGGGAGATCCAGAACCAGTGCTTCTCAATCGGACGGTCAGGTACAGGAAATGGTCCTCCTTCTGGAAAATGGATTTGTAGAGTTTGAGTTCAAGTGATCGTATTCTGCACTTCAAATGAATATGAAAACTGTTGGTGTTTCCTTTTTATTTGGGGCATTTAGACCAGTTGGCCACTAGGAGGCAGTGTTCTCAATCACCTTTCTCTTTCACTACATTAACCTAATTATTTTGATTTCTCCACAGGATACAGATGGTGTGGATAATGAGGTGAACTCTCACACAGAGAATGATGAAGATGATGAAGATGATGATGTTGATGATGGTGAGTACAGCCGTGCACTCTCTACTCTCCCACGCACACACACACACACTTTGGCTACATTTCTGATTAATTTGCGTCTCCTCCAGGAGAGAAATTCAACTTCAAAATCATCACTGACCCAGCAGACCTGATGAAGTTCGTCCAGCACCTCAAAGAGAGTAACAGAAAGGCCAGTGTTCGGCAGGATTCATATATTTATTCTCCAAACACATTTGCAAATGTTCCCATTCACTAAGGTGTTGTCTTGGACATTATTTCCAACAGAGAGCACAAAACCAGGACAGAAGTCAGCGAGAGAAGGCAGGGAGCGTCACGGCGACAGACGGGGAAGGTGACAGAGATGAAGACGAAGATCTGCTGCAGGACTTTGAGGAGGAAATCTCTGACCTGTCTGTGCCAACTGAGAAGATTCAAGAAATAAAGCAGGAGATGCAGAAGGAGTTTGACAACATCATAAATGAGGTTTGAAAATCACAATTAACATAAACATTAAGTTTTATTGGATATATCACGTGCCTCATTCTCTCCATGTGTTTAATCAACTAATTTAAATTTTATTAATTTCACAAGTAAATGAATGTAATCTCCAGCCCTGGTTTAATGGTAGTTAAAGGCAGATCCTGTGATTGTCTTTTTCACCACCTCCTTTTAGGCCGAGCAGGAACTGGAGACTGAGGGCCTGAAAGGGGAATTTGACCGCTCTCAAGCAACACAGACACTGGAGACCACACTGGACAAGCTTCTGGACCATCTGGAGGAAAAGGACACCCAGGACCAGGACCAGCAAACACCAAGAGGTCAACAGAGCAGTGATCCCACCAGGGGCAGCCCCAGCCTGGCTCCTAAACAGCCAGGTGAACAGCCTCTCTCCCCATTAGTGATAACTCTGTGTCCACCTCCATTATCTGAGTTTCATCTAAACCTAAACTGCTGCAGATGTTTCTGAGGCATCTTCACACATGGACTCGCTCTGACACTCGAACAAAAACAGTTAAAAAAAAAAATTGTCTCGGTACATTTCTGCAGCTCTTACTCCACCGTCTCACACTCGAACAAAAACAATTGTCTAGGTACATTTCTGCAGCTCTTACTCCACCTGCAGGCCATTTCCCTTCATTTAATAAGAAATGTAAAAAGTGAAGTTCCACACACACACTATGCTAAGTGAAAGTCTTGCCACAAATTTCCATGTTCTTGACTCTCACCTCCTCCATCTTGTGGCCCTGCTGGCTGGCTTTGAGGTGAACTCTCTTTATTTGTCCCTCTTTTTTTTGTCTCGTCACCCCAGACCAAGCGGCTGACGACCATGTTAAGATCAAAATAACTAAGTATAAGACGGGCCACAGCCCTGATGGGGAGGTCAAAGTTCAAGAATTGGGCGAAGGAGACCCCCAGTGGAAGCACATTAAGGACGTGGTTAAAGAGCAGCTAGAGAAAGCAGGACTGAAGCCTGAAGGTACGAAGAAGGGAGAGTCTCTGAAAGGCTCGCTGCCTTTCTGTGTTTCTCATCTGTGGATTTTCCTTTCTTCTTCAACAACCACTCTCTAGCTGTCAGAGTCAGGGTTTCCGAACTTTCTAACAGATAAAATGATCATGCTGTGGCAGAAAGACATAAGACAAGTCAAAGGGGGGAGGAAAAAAAAAGTTTTAGCCATGTGTGTACTTTGTGTTTTAATTCTTTCTTCTTTTCTTTTTATCAACCATCACACATCATCATCATTTGTTCGAACATTTTTATTTGAACTACATTCATGTAATTTTTAAATGTAATTTTTTTTTTTTTTTTAGGTAAAATTGAGGTAAAAATCTTGACACGAAAGAACGCAGAAGAGTCCGGTGATCAGTGGCTGACAGAAGAAGACACAAAGTCCTTCAGGGAACTGCTCATAAATCTACTGGTAAGACGATGTTTGTTTTTGGTTTTTAGTCAGCGTTTAAGAGAGTGAGAATTTATGTACTTTTCAAATCAGGCTGTACTTCCTTTTTACAAAAAAACTAGAAGAGGAACTATCAGTGCATACATTATACTTTACTTTTTTGAATGTAGTACTAGGTTCCTGTCCAACTGAGGTGAGATCAGGTCAGAAAAGGGAGAAATTCACAAATTCCGAAACCAAGATTTTGTGAGAATATTCTTAAGAATTAAATGTTACCAGGATATTTTTCAGGTTTGTTAAATGAACTTAGTTCAGGTCAAAGATCAGTTCATTGATCCAAGACATTGACTTCTATAACATAATGAATGAAAATCTTTGCAATTTCTTCAGTTTGAAAACCTGAAGAAAAAACCCTTGTAAACAGCAGTTTATCTGCAGCATCAAAATGTTTTTTTTTATTTTTGAAGCATTTTTTTAAAAGGTAAAATTGTTAAAAACTATTTAAAATTGTTTATTGGCATTAATCTAAAATTGTTAAAAACAATTTAAAATTGTTTATTGGCATTAATCTTATTCGTGATACCAGCCAGTGCTTCACAGATCGATCCACGGATCAATGTCTGAACTTGTTTGTCATCCTTCCAGACAGGAGGAACAGAAGAGGTCTACAAGGAGCAGAAAAGGCAGCAGGAGCTGGAGAACAACTACCGCTTTGTGTGGGGAGAGTCTCAGGAGGAGTCCAAGTCGTCCAGCAACTCTGACTCCGACGATGTGGACATTTGAACTTTCGCTCCGTGACTTCAGTGAACCTCTGATGAAGATTAGCTCCTGTGGAGACTGGAGGAGAGGAGACCGAAGTGCGGAAGCATATTAAAAAAAAAAACAGCAAAAGGTCTCGAAGATTGTGTAATTGCCTCAAGATCCGGCATATAATCAACTCTCCTGTTTGCACATACATCAAAAACGGCACGGTGTTGTTTGACTTGGCAGTGTGTGTGTGTGTGTGCGTCCTGACGAGGCACCGTTTATGACACACCAAACTGCAGCGTGGTAGCAGTTATGTGTTTTCCCTTTTTGTTGGGATTCAGTTTTGGGAGAAAAATCCAGTGACCGTACCTGTTCATTTTCCGCTCAGTTTTAATGTGGTTCTTTAATTCTGAGACGATACAGGTGTCCCATACTACTGCTTCGTTCACGTCTCACTTGTTTCCAGTTTTTCGACACCGTGTTTGACAACTGTTTGTGATGATACTTTTCTATTAAAAAGATTAAAAAAAAAAATTAAAGAAAAAAAGTAGAAAAGACAGGTGAATGCACTTTAGACATTTTGGAAAACACCCAATTTAAAACATTATTTTACAAATAATTTTCAATTCATGTGGAGTTAAAAAGCTTTTCAGATTTCAGTTTTGTTAGAATTTAGGCATATTTAATTATTAAAAAGCAGATTTCAATTTTTGTTAGAATTTAGGCATATTTAATTTATTAAAAAAAAATGTTGATCAAACGATTGAATCCACATAATTATTTTCTAATGACAGTCGTTGTATGTGTGAGTTGTATGTTAAAGGGCTGATTTGTACAATTTGTAAATAACCGAGGCTCAACGTGTGAATAATAACTACATGAAGATGTTTTAGAACTGACTTTTGTGAAATGATTCGCACACATCCAGTGGGACGTGGACTGCCTGAGTAAATGTGTATAAAACACGTGTTCTTTTGAATGATGTTTACTTCATCACTGCATCACTTTGAGGTTTGTTCAGGAGATTTTTGAAATAATAATAATTATTATATTGGCAGTAATGAAACAAATATGCACATCACTTAAAATGAAACTCTCCTCTTCAAAAATTGTTGTGCCGTGATTATTTGGCTTATCTGATTTGAGGTTTGGTGGAGAGAAGTTGGAATATTATATCTGGAATATTTGATCAACTTTGGTCTAATTCAATATTATTTTCCTGGCTCCAGTCACACAAACATGAGTACAAGAGTGTGCAGCAGTGAAGTCTTGACAAATGGTATCAATCAAAGTTAAACCCAAAGACTGAAGTTCAAATCTTCAGGACAACCAAAAAAAATACCACAGGCAAAGTAAAAAAATCGCACTGAGACAGATGGGAACGCAGCCAGAGCCTCGTACTAGTTGACACCGGGGCGAGCTCCAAACAAAGTGCAGAGGAGGTTTGGCTAACCCATCTAGCATTCCGAGGTTTTAGTCTGTGCAAGACGAGGTCAAATGAGTCAGTGACCTCGCGGTTAGAAAAAAAGGTCAATGCACGCACAAGTTTTTAACTTCAAAGAAAATAAACAAGGATGTTTGGACACGCATCACAACCGCAGAGTAAAGAAGAGGCTGAAAACAAGAAGCACATTAAACAAAAGCCAGGGTTAAATACAGTTTCAGCAGCCGACGGTTCAATTATACGATTTATTATGCACTGCATACAATCATGAATCAAGACACTGATTATAAGACACAAGGATTACCTAAAACAACTCTGCCACCAAAATAAATAGATAAACTGGTCTCAAACAACTTTGTAGTCATAAATAATATAAATTTGTAGAACATCCAATTAAAAAAAAACTACCTCTGTCTTAAATAGGTTTAGTTTACACTGCTCTAGAGACAGATTTATTTATCCTGTACACATAAAACAACATTTAAGCAGGTGTGACCACGCCTGATTAAAACATTGACTGGTGTTAATAAACATAGTCAGTTCTACAGTAAAATGTTGTTGATTGTCAGCACACAGGGCGAGGTTACTGTAAATAGTCCATTAAACATGTCTTTTTTTTAATTTATTTTTTTAGAGAATGTTTACCTATTGTGGGGTTTTTCTTTCATTTCGTCTTTTCTTTCATTTTACCGATATTTTGTATATTTTTTTCCACGTTTTCCAGTGAAACGACGTGTGACACATCTTCACTGGAACTGCACACGTGTCTGAGGAAAAGCTGTGCTTTTATTTTGAAACAGTTTGACCACAAATATCCCGTTTGTGCGGACGAGCTTCAATCCACGCAAGTTAGACGTTATTCTTCGCGTTTTTTTGTTCTCTATCCTGGCTTTTTACTGTCACTTTGTCGTAGTCTGTGTTACGGTCGCACCGTTTTTTTATGAGAAGTAACGTAGCGGGGGTTTTATCCGAGCGTCGGCTAACTTTTGTGTTCCGTTAGCTCTGCGGTTACGACGTAGAGGAGACCTTCGCTAACTTAGCAACGGAGTTAACGTTAGCAGGCGTCTAGAAAACAACGGACGGACCAGACTCTCAACAATGGCTGAGCAATAATGACGACCAGAAAATATAATTGCACAGGAGACTGACACCATTATTCCCTTATCGTTGCATTGTTTTGTTTTTTCTGTTCATTTTAGGCCAGGCTAGCAAGGCTAAGTTTATAGGTTTATATATTTAAACCAAAAGGGCAGAGACATTAAAAAAAAGGTGATTACATTTTTTTTTTAAACATTCATGGAGGAGCTGGGGGTGAAGGATTAGTGATGATGTCAGCAACGCAGCTGGTAAATCCAACCACACCTTGAAGTGGGAGTGACCGCACGGTGACACTTGTGACGTCGAACGGCTCTTAACTGACACTTCGGAGTGACATCTGCGCCCATGTCACCGCCGTTTCTCCTCCGTTCCCCCTGTTCTTCAGCGCCTGCCCAGTTAGTCCAGTCGGGGTGAAACCGCCGCCTGATCCAGCATGAAGACCTCTCTATCCAGACTGTTCTTCTATGCGGGCTTCGTGGTCGGAACCTGTACTTTGCACGTGTTTCTACGACAGGTGCGCTTTGACAAGACCTTGTCGAACCCCGTAGCCACGAGCTCCCACGACGAGCATCACCAGCTTCAGGAAGAGAGTGAGATATGGAAGAAAGAGAGATCTGCACTTTTCAACCTGAAACACCCTCACCACAAAGGTAAGCCTCAGGTTGACAGCAGTACATGGTGTTTTTGTGGTCTCTGAGGAAAGACTGCTGAACATGACAGCATTAACTTCCTCTTACCGGATCTCCTCAGCAGTGTGCTCTCATACTTTGTAAATTACTGTAGCAAATTGCAGATGTTGTAATACACATACACGTAATGCACGTCTGACATGCCAATGAGGGTGAAGTTCACAAGGGTTCACACACCTTCTGGGAGTAATCAGGTTATAAAATGGTGGGTTTTTTGTTGTTGTTGTTTTTTTTTTGCACATTAGAGAACACAAACATCCAGAAGGTAAAATGATTCGTTTCATGTTTCGCTGCATGCTTCCTGCAGGAGAAGAAAGTTCCTTCTACCATATGAGGTGGCAATTGTTGCTCAACAACACAATGCATAACAAAAGCACCCGAACACAGAGAAGCAAAAACAGGCTTTCACTTCCAACCTTTACAATAAAATTGTAAGTCTTTGGAGCGGTGGGTGTTGCGTGACTGTTGCACTGTAAACAGTTACACTCCAGCTCAGCATTTGATCTGTGTGTTTGTAAAAGACTGGCACTGAGAAAGTTCAGAAAGTTACTGTCTTTATAGTGTAGCCACAATAAAACAAAACCACCTTTTTTTTAATGAGCTACAGAATGAAGGTGTGCAAGTCGGGCTAAAGTACAAACACATACATATAAAGATATAAATCCATGTCATGAGCCTTTTTTCCTTGTTGGGCTTTTGGTTTGGTCAGAGTAAAAAACTGGACATGAACTGTCATCCAGACCAAACCACCACCGATTGGTTCTAAGAATAGATCACTTTGTTCTGGTCGTTTGAAAAGTAGCTCCCGTGCCAACAAACCGTGGACACCCCTGTTCTGGACTCTTCTGTTTCCCACCTGTCATTTCCCTTCTGTCCTGGTTGGCGTTACTTTTGTAAAAACACATTCGTCTCGAAGCTTTTTCTTCATCTATCAGTATTAAAAACAGAAGTGTCTGTTTGTTGTTCAGCCTGTAACCAGAGCTACATTCTCTTTCTCCTTCTTCTCATTGTTGTGGCGTTGAAGCCACAGTCAGAGGTTTTGATCAATGTCAATTGAAAATAGTTGATTTTGGTCTCGTGATGTTTACAGTGTACAGAAAAGCAGATGGTAATTATGAGTCACGTGTGTACGATTCAACCATGATTCTCTAATGTCCCAATGTCAAACACTGAGGCAGTGTTCAGTTGGGTGTTTTCTGAAGCATTTTTATGCCTGTGACTTTCTGAACACCACCCAGACCAAATGTGAGGGGAAAAAATCCAGCCATGAATCTTTTCTGACATTTGTTGTCCTGTTCTGGAAATTTGGGTGTGAACCCACACCATGGGTTGGGACGGCCCAACAGGGAGAACTGCAACAGAAACAGGCATCAGTGAGAATTTATTTTCAACACCAAGAAGCTGTAATTTATTGACTGTTCAAAAGTGCAGTCTTCACCCGGTGCAAATGTGAATCCATAGGACGTTAGCTGTAGTCGAAGTAATGTTACTGTTGGATTGTACTGTGGTGAAGGGAATTCTTGGGATTATGTTTTCACGTCACCTTGGTCGACTGTCGAACCAGGAATGTTTTCATGTCACCTTGGTCGACTGTCGAACCAGGAGACATGGTTTGTCATCGGTGGAACTCATGATTGTTGAGACACCATGTTGTCACCTTCCTCACCTCCTCTCCATGTTCTGTCACATTATTTGGAACAGACTTAAACACTCAGGACTTGAACGTGTGACCCAGGGTTTGTTTAATGATTATCCACAAGGTTGTGCTTTCCAGAGAGCAAAGTAAATAAGTCAGAACCCAGGACTGAACGGAAGCTCTCAGATGTGATATAGTTGAAAGCTGTCATGTTGGTTTCTTTGACCTTTTGAACTGCACAGATGCACACAGTCTTGTGGACATCGTCTTCTTCCTGTCACAAGACCAGTGTTTGAGATTCACTTTTGACTCAGAGATTTCTCTGACGGTCTGGTTGTCTAAACTAACTGAAAGCTGAAAACCTTAAAACCTGCTGTTCAGGTTAAAAGAGCTGAAACCTGGAACTTGTAACGCTGTTTTCTTTGATGGGAGAACCTTTCTGAGCAGGTACGCCCATCTAAAAAAACACCACTAGATAATGTTAACAAAACAGGCTCTAAAACTAGGAGGGGTTTTTTTAATGCCCTGGTCTATATAAAAATATTTAACCTGAAATATGTTGACGTAAATGTGTCATACTTTTGTTCACGTACTTTAAATCCTGTCCTTTAACAGATGACCTCTGCACAGCAAGTTAAATACAAGCCGTTGACTTTGCACTTTCAGTGAGACTTCGTAATACTTTGTACATAAAGACTTTTGACAGTGCAAACAAAGTCCCTCGAGTTACTCTGGCAGCTGTTGACTCATCACACGTGGCCAGAAACATCAAGATATATTTGCACTTATCCTTAAACGTTGAGGAGGGAGACAGGTGTAAGTGATACAATACTTAGTAAAACTTTGAGGTGACGTGACATAATGGTCCCACTCTGCTGTATCCAAGACAGATGTAAGACAACAGTGTAATGTTTCTCTCCGAACACAAAACATGCTGCACCAGTTCTTCGTCCTGATAAGAAGCTATTGTTCTTCCTTTTTCGATCGTTCACCTGGAGTATACGTTACTATTGTCAGATAGATACGATACAATCGCAGTATGTCACACCTACTCAGGAAATGTCTTTCTCTAATCTTGTCTTGTGACCTGGAAACACGACTTTCCTTAGTGAAGAAATGCATGCTGGGATTGAGAGATTGTGTTTCTGTGAATAGGGGGTGATTAAGGTGAAGGTGTGGAGACAGACAGACAGACAGAGAGAAGGAAAACAAGAGACTTTTTAAGACTAAATCTTCCGCTCAACTGGTATTTCTTCATGTCTGTGCTGCATCTATCCGTCCACACAAACGTACAGACCCGAAGAATCACCTCAGTGTTAACCTAACCTGGTCTTATGGTAATGAGGACCACAACAACAACAACAGTGTTCTGCACCTACAGTTCATGGAGTACCAATGATCTAATTCATAAAGTTTCATCCCTGTCTGGTCTTCTCAGAGATGGAGTGAGTACAACATGTGAGTACAACGTGTACTGTGCAGTAAAACTTAAAAAAAAAAAAACAGTACAACGTGTACTGTGCAGTACGAACCACAGTTAGCTTTGTTGACAAATACTTTATACTCAAACATCAGCTGTGTTTGTGACAGGCATATTATAAAAAAGTGGGGAGGTTTCTCTTGGGTTTGTTTGTTTGTTTGTTTGTTTGTTTGTTTGTCGTAGAACCTGATCCCAAGATACCAACAGACGTCACAGATACACCGAGTCACTGTGTTTCAATCCGTTGGTATAAATTAGCGCAGGCTAACTCTGCTGTGACAGTTAAATCGGAGTGAATGTGTAACAATATTTGACGCTGGACTAGTATGGACTCTAATGTTACAGACATTCTTAGAGATGTGAACAGTCTGACGACTTCCTGGTTCAACCAGCAGGAGAATTCAGGCTGTGTTGACGTTTTACTTTCAAATTAAGGGGAAAATGTCAGCAGTTTCCCCTACAGTACCTGTATTTTATTTATAAAGAAAGAGTCTGATTTGTACTTCTCTCACCTGCAATTGTTTATTCAAGTAAGGTCAGTAAGGTCAGAGGTCAGTAAGGTCAGAGGCACACTGAGGTGTTAAGATTATTGTCATTGAAGATAAGGGACCTGTGTAAGAAAACTTAGATTCTGAATATATAAATGCACAAACATGAAAATGTCTGGCAGGAAAAAGAAGAAGATGAGCTGATACTGATCTGACATGTGAGTTTTTGTACTGCAAGTAAAAAGTTCCAGTGTAAACGTTGACGTGTACCGTGTACTCTTCACCAGGTGAGGACAGCCGACTGGCTGACGAGCTGTACAAAAAGGTACGTATTCTCTGCTGGGTGATGACGGCGCCGCAGAACCTGAAGACCAAGGCTCAACACGTCAAGTCCACGTGGAGTCGTCACTGCAACGTCGTGGTCTTCACCAGCTCCGTGGACGACGCCGACTTCCCCACCGTGGGTTTAAACACGTCAGAAGGCCGGGACCAGCTGTACTGGAAAACCATCCGTGCCTTCCATTATGTCTACCAGCAGCACGGACACGAGGCCGATTGGTTCTTCAAGGCGGACGACGACACCTACGTCAACGTGGACAACCTGCGTTGGATTCTTGCCAACCACACCGCCGACGAGCCCATTTACTTTGGCCGGAGATTCAGGCCCTACGTCAAGCAGGGCTACATGAGCGGAGGAGCCGGGTACGTGCTGAGCAAAGAGGCCTTACGGCGATTCGTAGAAGGATTTAAAAGCAAACAGTGCACTCACACTACCTCAGTGGAGGACCTGGCCATGGGCCAGTGTTTGGAGAAAGTAGGGGTGGTGGCCGGCGACTCCCGGGACACTCAGCAGAGGGAGACATTTCACCCTTTTGTCCCTGAGCAACACCTCACATCCAAGTTCCCCAAGAGCTTCTGGTATTGGAGCTACTGCTACTACCCCATCACAGAGGCAAGTGAGCCACAGTCATACACCATACAGCTGAATGGAAGAGGAAGAAGGTTGAATGAATGATTTCACAGTCGGCAAACAGAAAAAATGTTGACATCAGGTTGATGATCAAACGTCTGATAAGAACCGCTGTGACTCCAGCTCGTCTTTTTCATAAATGCCATCTGTGTTTATTTAAGGAGGGTAAATATATGTAGGCAGGTTTAATCTATGAAGCTGCGTTCAAAGTACTTAATTGATTGTTTTCTTTAAACATTTTCAAACAGTATTCATTTGGCTGTTTGCCTTTTTTTTTGTTTTATTTTTTTTGTAAAAGGGCCCAAACTGCTGCTTCTAAAATCTCATTTCTCCCAGGAAATAATTTTCTTTCTTCTTTCCCCCCCCCAGGGCCCAAACTGCTGCTCAGACTTGTCGGTGTCCTTCCACTACGTAGATGGTTTGCACATGTATTTATTGGAGTACTACTCCTACCACCTACGTGCCTTTGGCTACACATACCGTTACCGGGCCCCCACCCCTCTCACCTACAGAACGGAGCAGTTTGACGCAGCAGAAGGTCACGAAGACGGGGACGCTCAGGTCAACGGTCTAACAGATTTGGACGATGAGTCCAGGACAGACGAGAGGGAGGAGAACCCTTCATTAGTGGACAAACATTAGGGTTGATGTTTGTCTCTCTTTAATTAGCCAAAGCTAATTAATGTTAGCTTTGGCTCATAACCCTGAACACTCCACCTTTGTCAGATGTTTATTTTTTTTTAATTTTTTGGTTTAATAATTTTTGGCATCGAGGTTTTGTTTTTAAAACGTTGACAGGTTAAAATGTGTTTAGTTTTTTTATTTGAAAACTACTGCAGTATCTCCAAGACCCGGTACACAGTTTCCTTTACGTGGTCTTCATCCACATAAAGAACAACGTGCCTGCTGCTGAGACCCACGTCAGTGGGGTTCTCAGGTGGACGAGCCGTGGGGTAACTTATTAAATAAGAGACGAGTATTTATTCTGGGGTGGCTGGATATCATCGATGCTGTTGTTATTTCGTCTTCTAAATACCAAACTTTATACATTTGTTTTATTACTATTATTATTACACTTTAGTGTAACTAATATCCAGAATTTGATATATTAAAAGTTTAAATTTTTTTCCCTCATATTTTTAAAAGTAAACATCACACTGATCTTCCTGTGACAGAGTGATGGAAGGTCATGGTTGTGATAACAATAGAAATCTTTCTTTGATTAAAAAAATCAGAAAAAAAGTAAAAAAAAAAAAAAGAAAAAAATCAGAAAAAAAAGTAAAAAAAAAAAATACATGTGTATATGTATTTCTTTTTACGTTATTGCCCTGGGAGGACTGTGTTCTTTGGGTTACTCAGCACTCCGTTTCATCTCTATGACCAAAGTGAATTTATTCTATGGTTCGTTGTTAGCATGTGGCCTCAAGACTTTCACAGCTTTTGCTTTAAAGACTTTTGAACTTAATTTTTTTTTTTTTTTTTTTTTTAGAAATTAAGTTCAAAAGCTGCTGTTCTCACTGACCAAAGGAAACACCAATACTAATCAGTAACCATGGCAGCAATTAAACAAATAATAATATATATGTTTTTAATGGTTTGCTGCGTCCCGGTGCATTTATGCCCTCACTTTGACAACCACTGCCCTGAATAGAAACCAAAAGGAGTGAATTACACCTGAAAACCTTTCAGACTTGCGCTGGTACAGTGTTTGACTAGTTAATGCAGTAGAGACTGGTAACCTGACCTTGTCTAGTCCAGAGTGATGAGATGCATTTTCAGGTGGATGAGAGACAGACTTGTTGTATTCAGAATCCTCCATCCATAAGTCAGGTTATAGTGAAGGAGAAGAGTGTCGTCTCTGGACACAACCAAACAGTCGTGCGAGTTTACCCACACTGCATCCTGTTCAGGCGAGGGTTGGTTATCAAAGAGGCAACATGTTTGTCATTCAAACACCTCCAGGTAATTCTCCACCCATCGTCTTTGTTTAATGTTCCTTACACAAGCCCTTGATACACAGTTTATTCCTCCTGCTCCTCCTCCTCCTCCTCCTCTTCCTCCTCCTTTCTTCTTTTATATTTAGCCTTATTAAACTGAGATTGTATGAGCCGACGGCTGATGACTTTGCACTGTGACGTTCTTCTGAGGAGGCTGGTCCTGGCAGGTCCATCTAATCGTATCCTTCACATATAATTTTGTTTGTTTTGTTTTTCCCTCTTTTTAATCCAAATGTATTGACAGCTGTGTTGTGGATCTATAAAGGTCGGTCTTTTATATTTAGCAGTGTATTTATGGGAGATGCAGTAATTACCAAAAGCAGTTAAAGGCTTCAGGAATCTGAAGTGTTGGTTTTTTTAGAGTGTTATAATGACGATGTTTTTAAACCACTTGTACTTTTTAAAGCTCACTCTTGGCGACACGTCCGTCGGCAGAGTAAAGTACCAGCTCTCTGTTCTTTTTATATGTTCAGAGGAATCACCCAGGCTAAAACAAAACGTGTCTTTAAAAGTTCAGTGCCGACATTTTGAAGTTGTAGGACAGACCTTCAGGTTGGAGAGGGTGACGGGTTTGGATCACAGTCATACTGTATTTGGAGGCCCAGACGAATAAGCTGCCTCTTTATTCTAAGCGGTCGACTCGTCCTGACATCCAGCCCTGACAATCACGACCAACCTGTGACTGGATGTAAAGATAAAGTGTACAGTTTTTTATGTATTTGTTTGAACACTTCAGTCTGTGTTTACTTGATTGTTATACTGTAAGAGATAAAGCCCACGTGGACAGTGGGTCGGGGTTTCTGTGAATGACAAATGAAATCACTATGAATGAATAAATACACACATACACATTTTTAAAACCTGTCCTGTCTCTTGTCCATCAGTGAGATCTGAGAAATGACTGAGACGTCCGACCTCGTCGAGGGTGAGTTTGAGTTTGAAACTCCTGTGATTCTCAGGTGAAGATCGTTAACTTTTTTTATTGTTTTAGTTGACCTCGAGAATTAAGCAGAACTTTGAAGATTTGAAAAAATTAATAATAATTAAACTCATGGGCAGAATGACATGCTCACTGTTGTAGCCAATAATTTGATCTGATAATTCCAGAGTTTTCCTTTCACCGAAGCAGCTCAAGCTTAAAAAACGCTCAACGTTTAGCATGTTTTTCTCAGCGTCCAGATGCACTGGCCGGGGTCAGAGGTCGTCTGACTTATTATATGAGGGCTTAGTACAGTGTTTGACCTTGGTCAACAAGGTGAACTGTCATTTACACACACACACATCACTCATGTACAGTAGGGGTTTTGTATTTCCTGAGAAATTATTTATTCACTCTAAATAAATAATTAAATATATTCAGAACAAAAGTCTGTTTTGTTGTCAGTCAGATCCAGTCAGAGCGCTGAGATCATCGCCATAAAAACCTGAGCAAAAGAGAAAAAAAAGTATGAAATATGATAGAGATAAACGTGAAACCATCAGGAGGATGTAGGTGGAAGAAGGAAGATATATTTCCCTACCTTTGTTTCCCCTCAACAGAGTCTTTCCTGTTTGGTCGGGAGATAAGAAAATTAAAGTCAAAACATTTTTCTATCCTGCTTCTGTGCAGTGACATCACAGAAGTGCAGCTGTGATGTAGATGCATTTTATATCAATATGTTTTATTATATTTGTATAATTCTTTTTCTTTTTTTTCTTTTTTTTTTTTTTTTTTTACTTTTTTTTTAACTCCTCCGTTTCACACGTCTTCAAGGTGACACACCAAAATACCAGAAAAGTTGGTATTATACAGATCAATTAACAAAAAAAAACAAGTTCATTTATACATATATACAGTATGTGTGTGTGTGTGTGTAAACGTATTTAATATAAACAGAATTACAGCGGTGTTAGGTACCAAGACCGCTTGCGATAGGTGAAAAACCGCGGAGTAGAGACGCGATGGTTATTTTATATTATATTATAATATATGTTATGTTATGATATATATATTATAATATATTGTCTACATATATACTAACCCTTTATGAACCCTTTAGGACGCATCGTAGGGTGTAAAATATCACGTCAAAAAAGTGGAAAATGTACAATTATTTTTTTACTATTGTATGATGTTTTTTTTTCTTCTTAGGCTAGAAAATTTTGTTGGTTTGTTTTTCTTCTTAGGCTAGAAAATCCATATTTTATCATGAAAATATTGGAATGAAAATTTTTTTATATACCTCAAAAATCCACGTTAGAGCAAAAAATCCAAGAATACATTTAAAATATGTTAGAGCAAAAAAAATCCAAGAATACATTTAAAATATTAAAAACCCACCATGCACTGAGGACGCGGCAGCTGAAACGCTGTACAGCGAGGGTCAACTGTGTGTGTGTATGTAATGTATATGTGTATTTATGTCTTTTTATATTCATATATGTACATGTGTAAATATGTATATGCCATGATTTCAGTTTATTCTTATGTATATATATATATTCATATCCCTGTTGAGTCCAGACACATCTGTGCTCATCCACGGTCACTCACTTGTCCTCCCCCACAACACATCAGCCAGGATGTGGTCCATGTGTCCTGCATCACACCAACAGAGTTCTGTTATTTACCAACCAAGACTGAACCACACAGTCAAAGATCCAACTCACTTGTTCTGGTCCCTGCGTCCAGTCTATGATCTGTAACAGATAATCTTAGTCTTAGTCTAGGGTTCGTTAGGGGGCGTCGATGTTTTAGGGGCCCTGATTGGCCGAAAAGACTCACCGTCGGATTGAGCAGCACTTCTTCTTCCCATCAGACTGACGAATCTGTCATAATCGTAGTCGTCAAATCTCTTCAACTCCACGTCTTTCCCTCCACAGCACGGCGTCAGGTCCTGAAAGAGCAGACGTGACGTGGATGAGACCGGAGGCTACGGCGACTGTTGGAGTGGAGGACGGGTCTGTACCTCTGACACGGACGGGTATGTGCTCGCTCTACACAAACATCTCACAGGAAAACAGAGAAGAACGACCAGAGCCATCACCGGAGGTGGACGGTGGCAGCCCGGATTCCTCGCCATCGTGCCTCAGCAAAACATACAACATGGTAGCTACATGTTAGCCACTATAACACTACAACAAGAAAGATATTACATGTGATGATCAAACATGGCAGCCTCCATCAAAAACAGTTCCTGATGAACGTGACCAAAAGTCATGAGAAGAATGATTAAAGTTTAGATTTCACTGAACATTATCACACAAACATTCACCCCGACATAAGTCGGATTTGATCCTAGACGTGTTGTATAATGTTGTGTCAACTGTTTATTACTGAAGAAATATCTGGAATAATCTGAATTACCCAGCATTCATCAGGTGAAGGTGGGTGAGGACGGGGAACACCCGGGACACTTTAGACAAGAGCACCAACTGCTGGCAGGACGATGTTGTTGAACGTTACATCAGTGTATTGTTCTAAACACAGCTAAAGACCAAATCATCATCAGTTCTTCACCGCTGCTGATTCTGAACCTCTGTTCAGCCCGACGTGAATCACAGCTGCCATTTCACCTGTCAGGAATCTTCAAACAAAAAAAAAGCATCAGATCTCACCAGTTGTCAGCACTCGGTGGTCCTGGAGGTCTCTGTGGTCCTGGAGGTCTCTGTGGTCCTGGAGGTCTCTGTGGTCCTGGAGGTCTTGATAGTCTCTGTGGTCTCTGTGGTCCTGATCTTTCTTCTGTGATGCCAATCCTGATCTCAGCGCAGCCTCTGTCTTCATATTTATACTTCTAACTGGAGCTCCACCCACCACACGCACACATGCACACACACGCACACAAGTAGATCTCTCACCACACACTGGATCCTTGATAACTAAGTGTTGATTCGGTGGATCAGTGGAGGGAGGATCCTTGATAACTACGTGTTGATTCGGTGGATCAGTGGAGGGAGTAGATCTCTCACCTGTTTCTGCGTTAATGTAAATGTGATAAATGTGTTAAACATTTAAATACAAAAAGTATTGGATTAATGTAAATGTGATAAATTAAACATTTAAATACAAAAAGTATTGGAAATATTAAGTCAGCCGTTACTGTGAGCTCAGAATGGAATATTTGGATTAAAACCACGGTTCTGCCGGTTCTGTCTCTGTGTTTGGCTGAGGTAGAATTAACTTTCATATGACCGGACGCTGTCGTCCAATAACTTCTGTTGGATTTTCCATCTCCTCTGTTTGAACTCCATCCATTTACTGACCTGTAAACTGACATTCATTACAGCACGACTGAGGCCTGAGCAGCAGTTTGATTTTGTGAGACTGGACGTTGGAACCTCACTGGGGTTTGTTGACAAATCACAGCTGCAGTTTAATTTGTTTCAGTCAATGATGTCAGATATTAACTTTTTGCCGATATTGTCCAAACACTTTCCGATTTTGATGTCAAACGATACCGATATAGGCCAGGTAATATTTATTTATCTGTACAAAAATACAAACTGGATGAGTATGAGATTAATTAAATCAGCCCCAATACTGCCATCTAGTGACTTTCACTTTAATATACAGCTGTTATTCCCCAAAAACAATTTTTAGGGCACACATCATTTGACGAAACCCAGGCAGCATATTTAAGGTTGAAATTTATTGGTCCCGCATTCAGGGAATTATTGTTTTTTGTTTTTTTTTTTGGATATTGTGTTATGGGATTTTCATTATCGAAGGAGAAACCGATAATACATATTATGCTAATATCGGCCGATGACAGCCTTCCCAGAGATGAAGGTCATAACAGAAGGGAATCTGGAGCTCGCACAACGGTAACAACTTGTATCAGTGTATCAAAACTTGTCTCTGTTTCAACTTGTTTTCCACAGTTTAAAATAGTTTTTTTGTAAGTATGTGGAATGTTGAACGTTTTCACATTAATTACTCCCTAACTGCCTGGTGATAAGGTGTGAGTCCTGCTGGGACTGAGCTCTTCTGCTGTTGCTCTCAGGTTTCAGGTTTGAGTCCATCAGCAGTTGTTTGTCCTGTTTTACACCTTCACATAAATAAAACATTCTCCAGGGACAGATGACGCGTCATCCACGTCATCTTCTGAGAATCAGTCGCCTCAAGTGTTGGAAAGTATTGAGGAGATAACAACGCTTCTTTTTTTTAAAAAAAAGTTATATCAGGATGCATTAACACACTGAGGCCAACGCACGTGGATGTGCTGGGTAAACCCTAAGCAGTGTCCTTAATCAGGGGTATCCAACCCCTGGTCCGGGAGCCGATGCCGGTCCGTAGGTCATTTGGTGGTGGGCTGCAGTGGGACACGGTGAAAAAATGTACTTCAGTTTATTTCATTCCCAAAAAGAATCCAGTCATATCCCTGTACTTTTTTTTCATTCAAAGATAATCTGTCAGTGTTTCAAAACAACAGGTCAAAGGTCATTCAGACTTTTGAACTTTTTTAATTTTGAAAATTTAAAGACCTTCCAACGATGGTGAGGTATTACTGGCTAACACTGGCTAAGACCAGCGTCACTGAGTGGAGCTGCTCTGACACGGGGGTCAAACGGAGTGGGAGTGAAACTCCAGTGGACTGATTACTGCTGATGAAGACAAACGGCTTCATCACCAAAGCTGTTTGAATGTCCAGTAATTGACAGAAAGTAGAAAAAAAATCTTTCTTGTCAAATTGATTAATTGATTTTGTCTCAATTAATCACGATTAATTGATATTGATTGCAATCATGACTCGTTGTGATGAGTCCATAGGTGCCCTGTGATTTACTGGTTTGTTTGTTTTTTTTGTAATCATTTAACAGCACTTGGTGGTGCGATCGTGAGGAACTGGCTAATGTGAGACCACTGGTCCACTGGTCCACTGGTCCACTGCCGGGCTCACTCATCCAGGTCATGGATGACATTTCTGCTCCGTATCATGAATCTGTACAACAGGAAAATGACACGTGTGCAGCCGTGTGTTATTAATTAATAAAAGCCTCACAGGGCGGCGTCTGTAATTGCTCGGGGAGCACCACAGAGCTGGTGACTCACCTCCAACGCTCTGCTGTGTAATGGAGACTCAGGCGTGTGCAGGAGTCGGGCTGCCGTGTCGGCACATTCTGATGAGTTTTGATTGAGCTCTGGGGAATTCCTGCTTTATTTGAACTGGTGTCCGTCCCTTTGGAGTGACTGTATAGATGACACTGCTGTCCTCCGGGGGGGGGGGCGAGACGAACAAGCACCTTCAGACTGGAATGCATCTGAAGAACCTCTAATTTTAAGACAACAGTTTAAACCTCAGTAATATTTATGTATATATATACAGTAAATACATATATATGTATGTATATATATTAATGTTTGTGTGTGTGTATATACATATACTTGTATATACAGTATGTATATATATATATAAATTTGTATACAGTATATGTTTATGTGTGTGTGAATATATACATATATATACATATATTTGTATATATATAACTATATACATATATGTATATATGTATCTATGTAAATATATATACATATATGTATATATGTAAGTATATATGTATATATGTATATATGTTAGTTTATATACATATATACATACAGTATATGTATATATGTGAGTACATATACTGTATATGTATATATGTACTGTATGTATCTAGGTAAGTATACATACATATATACATATATGTATATATGTAAGTATATATACATGTATATACATATGTGAGTACATATACTGTATATGTATATATGTATGTATCCAGGTAAGTATATATAAAGGGACAGTGCTGCTGTTTGCTGTTTACTGTGATGACAGAGAAGGAAACATGACAGTCTCTCAGACTGTTAAGTCAGTGTTTACCGAGTGTCTTTTTCTGTTTGAGTAAATACATCCTCCAGCTTCACTGTATATTGACACTGCAGGTAACTGTGTGTCCGGCAGCTGGAGCGTGTGGAAATGACACAGTTGAGATGCAGTTTTATTTGTTTATATTACATTTTTTTACTTGTCGGGAGCTAGGCAGACAATAAAAAAATAAGAATAAAAATATAAGATTAGATAAGTAAGACGACAGTAGACAATATAGTAGTTTCAAAACTTTGGTTTGGAGTTCATTTTACGTTCAGTGAAAACCAAGTGACTACATCACTGTGAATTTAGATGGGTTTATCAGTTATTTTATTATTATAAAGTTTATTATTTTTATAAATCTATTGTAAATATACTATTATTATAAAGTTATTAAAGTAAGCACAAAAATACACAGGTGAAGTTCTGTTGTAAAAATATATTTTTGAATTGTATTTTTTTGTATCGCTGTGTACCCTTGTGTATGTTTGTGTGTTTATTTTTAATATATGTGTCTACTGTAAAACTATAATCATAAAATTAAACTTTCAAACTTCTTCTTATCCTGTGATATGATTTAAACCCCTCGTGAAACGACGTTCTGTGAACAAGTGGTTTGAAAATGAGGTGCTGTATGATGAATTGGGTTGAAAACAAGACCATTTATGTGTGGAGGGGAGGAGGGGGGGTACGTGGGGAGGGGTGACGTGGGGGGCTTTGGGTAGTAGGGCAGAAAAACAAAACTGCTCCACAACACATGGACTTTCTGCACGTGAATCAATATTCAAGCCCAGATCTCCCTGTTGGAGCGTGAGGCCAAAGAGAGGAGGCAGCTGAAAGACAGAGACAGACGAGACAGAGGGAGGGCTGTGGGACGTCCGCTGGAAAATGGATTCTCATTGGAGGCAAGAGGAACAAAGGTCGCTGTGGATTCTTTTGGGGGAGAAAATAGGAGGAACAAGTAGTGAACGTACTCGTTTCTGTGATCAGGACTCTCACGAGGTAAAGTCTCCCGAGATCAAACTCTAGAAGTTGTTGGTAAAATTGCATTTTTGTTGTTAATTGTAGAAAGGAGGGAAAGATATATATCTAACATTGTTAAAAGAGCGAATGCATCGACTTATTTGGATAAAAACATAGACTTTAACCTGACGTAGCCGGAGCTAAGGTCACTAACATCTGTCTCTGACACCGGTTCATTTCAATGTCAGGTGCGATGGCCGCAGACAAGAGCTCTCGCAGAGGTGGACTGAGGTTCATGACGTTGAAATGGCTCATCACGATCCAGCTCCTGCTGACGGAACAAGTTCTGTGCAGAGTCCTGGATCCACCGTCTCCAAGAAAAGATCTGCTTCAAAACAGTGAGGCTCAAACTGGGCTGAAGGAAACAGACAAACGGAACCAGCAGGCGTCGCTGGGTCTCCGTTCCAGGCCCAGTTCCTTATCTTCTCAAAGTGATGCTCCTGTATGGCAACAACAAACGTTGGAAGAACAACTGGTCCAGTCTGCCGAACAGTTAATTTCAGACCTTAAAGAAAACCTCAAAATTCAAGAACGTCTTAACCTCAACGGGAACATCAGCTGTGGAGAACTTTTGTCTGCGAGTGCAGTGGACGACTCTTTGGCTTCCACGTTTCCTCAGGAGCTGCTGGGTCTTTCTCTGGTGCCCGTGATGGTTTGGGCAGGATGTCCAGAGGAGGCACAGACCCTGGTGCTGAAGCTGTACGATCTCCTGGGAGAGACGGATACAAAGGATCTCCTGATGGAGCTGAAAAGTGAGCTGGAGCGTCAGATGAGAGTGTCGTCATCACCGACGTCACCTTCAAAAAGGAATCAAGAAGAGCGCCACATAGAGGCTGTGATGTTCAACATCCAGCAGCTGGTGAACGCAGGAGAAGACACCACTGTGCTTGAAGGACGATGCGGCGCTTGGACCAGAGTGAATGGAACGACGCTGGTGGGGACAGCTGTGGACGGACCCACAGGTGGACGAGAGGAGGCGATAAAGAGCTGCGAGAGACTAGGAGTCCTGTGTGCTGGTGTGACCAGGAGTGGAGGGATCACCGCAGACAGGTACCAGGCAGTGCAGCAGAAAGGGAGTCGTATCCTGCCGTCTGCCTCCTCAGAGTCCGAGTGTTGGATCCGTCAGTGTAGTGTAAATGAGGTCGCTTCAGGTCAAAGGTTGAGACGCAGTCTTCAGAAGAACTGCATAAACAGCGAGGAGAAGCGAGTGTATCAGGTGGTGGAGTGGATCCCTGCGGTCAGCACCCTCTACAACCTGGGAACAGCAGTGTACTACGCCGCGCTCAACTGCACCGAAACAGCCAAGGAGAGAGCGCTCCTCAGTGCTGTGGACCTGGGCACAGACGCGATCATGGTGGCCACGGGGGGAACTGCAGGAGTGGCGGGTTACGCTCTAGGTGCGGGGGTGAAAACTGGTGTGAAGGCAGGGGTCAGGTACATGCTGACCTCCATGAGGGAGGATGATGACATAAAGGTGAACCAGTTCAGCTGGGATGATGGTGACATCATCATGCAGTAAACTCCAGGGTCGGGTTATCTTCATTTCACCTGTGAAGTTTTGGATAGATTTATTGTTCTAACATTTTGACAATCTTCACCAGCTGATAAAAAGTGAACAACTTTCTTTGTGTTTTTTTTTTCTAATTATATAACTCTAATGACATCTGATATTATGTTTCTATTTTGAATCTGTAACTTTAGGTAAGTTTGGGTTTTTCTGAGAAAAACTATCCAGCCTACAGAATTCAAGCCCTGTCACCAGAAACGTTGGTGCATTTTCCAAAAAGTCAACAAATCTGTCATTTGGTACTGGACTTGAACCTTCACTTGACTTCCTTCACATATTTGTACTTTAAGTCTGCATATCGGGGGAAAAAAATTAATAAAAAAAGTTGAACACAACTTTGAACAGTGTTTCTCGCCCGCTGACGACAGAAGCGCTCGCTTTATTCAAACATATCAGTGTAAACACTGATTATCAGCCATTGCAGGTGTAGGAGCAGCTGTTGAAGAGCGTGTTTTTCCAGACGACTCCCAATAACAGCTATTTTATTACAGTTTGGACATTGGACATTTTGACGTGACACTTGAGGCTTGTTGAATGTTAGTTCTGTGTTTGTAGTCACAGTTAAAATATAAAACTGCCAGAACATGGATGACATAGTATTTAGCTTTGTCCCCATCTAATCTGATTTGGTTTCAAATATCATTTTAATATTTAACTTGTCTACTTAGCTGCTGCCTTTCTATGCAGCTAAAGAAATAAATTATTAACCTGTGCTCTTTAAATTTACCAGTCATTGCATTTTACTGACAACAACAACATTATTATTATTATTATTATTATTATTATTATTATTATTATTATTATTATTTTAGCCTCTAGCCTTCGTGTTGTTGTTCTAAGAACCTGCTGAGGACAGTACAAAGCCTCTCACTGTTAGTGAAATCTCAGCGACTCTATTTATCATTTGTTGTTATGCTCAGACAATAGAGGTTTTGGTCAGGAATGTGGCACGATCAACTTCATCGCCATCTACTGGACAAACTTCTTTGAACACTGAAAAATACTAGGTCGGTGATCATCGTCTACGTGCATGTACAACAGTCCACAGCGGTGGAATGACGTAGACTAACAGGGGGAGCTGAAGCTAGTCCCAGATGACGTCATGTGAAAAGGTGGTTATCAGCACAAATAGGCCATCAAAGGGTGACATACTAAGGTTTGGTTTAATAAAAAAAATACACGTAGTAGTTTTTATATAAATAAATGATTACGGTATAATAAAAAAAGATAATCCAAACAAATAATCACTTAAAATTATACGGTGGTTACCTTAAAAAATTAGTCACTTTTTTTAATCTATGTTCTTTCTGTGTTATTGGTGCTGCTGTTTTGTCTTATTTGTAGAAATAACACAAAAAAAAATATTTCGCAGGTTACCACCCATTTGTATTTGTCGTTGTTGTCGTTTATTAATGATAGGGGGAAATATTTTATAAGTGATTTTAGCCAAAAACATTTTGGGGGTTTTGGTGAGATATCGTGAGGTTATTTTTCCAGCCGCGATATATTTTGTGGTTTATCTGTGCATAATCAGCTTTGATTACTTTCACAACGTCATTTCTTGAACATTTTCACCGTAACTGCTCCTTAAGTTTCGATTGTGTAAATAACTCCGCCTCACTGTAGAGTGACACATAAGCAGACTAATGGCGTATGTTCGTTGTTCCCGGAAAGACCAATCAGTCGCATCCGCAAAGTTCACTTAGGAAACAACAGGCAACCGTTCTGTCATTATGGCTCTGCCTTCCCTTTAGACGTCCGTGTGTTGGAGCCAAAATGGCGCCTGGAGACTTTTGAAGTAGGCGGGGCTACCAGGCGTCCAAAAATAATAAAAGAAGGCGAGGCAAGGCAAAGCAGATGAAGGAAATAACATCCGCACTCGTGCTTGCTGATATTCGATGTTTTTGTTTTCGTCTTTTGTCATTATCCACAACAACCGTACGCCTAAAAAAACAGTAGTTATCAGTGGCCAGTTTGAATATAGCACCTCACTGGAGCGCATTTAAGTTGTTAAGCGGCATAAAGGTGAGTACATTGAATTACGGCGGATTACTGTGAGTACGTTTCTTAATTAAAACATGCTAATCAAATAACTAACTATCTATCTATCTGTATTTCATATTTACCCACTAAATCTTAGACATATAAAATCACATTTGTCACTCGGGTTCCTATTTTCTCACAGTCTGAACTTTGTTCCTCAGCTGTGACTTAATGACCCGGATAAACCAGTCACGTCTTTACCTGCTGGTCCAAGCCTGTGCTGTAAACACAGTGTTTTAACTGTCTGTTTTCTAGGTCAACCACACAGATGTCTCAGTGGGAGAGAGTGATGCAGCTGCCTGCTGCTTACCAACAACAGCTACATGAGCTCTACGACAATGACGATTTACCCATGGATGTCAGGCACTACCTGTCAGTATGGATGGAGAACCAGGAGTGGTGAGGCCGTGTCATTTTTCTGTCCAGAATCCTGTTTTTTTTGTTTGTATTTTAATAGACTGACTGACTGGTTGGTTAAAGTTTAGAGGTGAAATCTACAGAAAGTGTTAAGTTCCTGTCCTGTAGGGAGTGCTGTTGCACGAGTTAAGGGTTCTCACACAACAATATTGCTTCATTTAATTAAATCACATAACCATGACAAGATGATCAACAAAAACAAGCGTGTATTTGACTGTCGTGCTGTGGAGCTAAACACCTCCATTAAATGTCTTTAAAAACATTGTTGAAAACTGTGCACGTCTGCCAAATATAACAAAGTTATTTCTTTTTGTTGTTGAACTTGTAAATATAACAAAACACAAACACAGAAAGATCTTTTTATGTTTGCTTTGTTCAGTCTTTTTATTACCACCAACTTCTGGGTTTACTTTCCACTTCTAACTTACTATTACCAGTCAGAAACTTCTGATAACTACAGGATAATAATTTTTTTGTTTTTATTCCTGCAAATAATCTCACCACAAAATACTTTGAATTCCTTTGAAACAGGAAAAAAAGTCAATTATCATTGAAAGACTGACCATGAACTTTGTTTTCACAATCATTTCCATTGAAATGGAGTTATTTCTTTTTGTTGTTGAACTTGTTGAATGGAGAAGTTATTACTGCAGAGACCAAGAAAGACACACCCTGTTTGTCCATCACTCCTGACCTTTGGAGATTACACAAGTGGTCAGAAAGCACAATGTTTAATGTTTGCACAATGGCTGTGGAGCGTTATAATGTACGGCAAAATCACTTCAGAGAAGATTCATTATTCATATTCAGTTTTTGTGTTTGTTTTCTAGGCCGCGAGCGGCACGGGAACACGACTTGGCTGTTGTGCTGTTACAAGTCCTGCTGGAAAATCTAGACATCCAACACAGTCGTTTTGTCCAGAGGGATGCGATGCTACTGAAGCACAACATTCGGCGTTATAAACAGAACTTTCAGGTCAGTTTAAGCCAGCTTTATTATGAGTTTGTTTATTAGGAACATTTGGCTGCACAAAACCATTACGAAGCTATTAATAATAATAAAAATAAGGAAGCTTTTGAAGTGCCTATTATGACCTTTAGAAGATTTAAAAAATAATTCACCACATTGGTTCAACAACTAGTCTTACCTCACCTTTTATCAGTTTCTCAGTACCTAGAATTCTGAACGATTTTACTGATGACTGTAAACAATATTTATTAAATTTGGTTAAATTTGAAATACAGCAACATTGTGAATCACTATTTATCCTAAGACAGGGTGTTTTCAAAGTCACACATTGAAACCACAATGAACACACGCACAAACAGCCACAGTGCCATCAAAAGAATTGTTCTTTGATTTTTGCAAAGTTGCAAAAATGAAAAAAAAAAAAGTTTCATTCTTCAATATAAACAAAGAAAATACATAACCATACTTTTCTTTTTCTTGCAGTAGTAGAGTAATTGTGTCTTTTCTTACTGCACGTGCTGCAACAAAACCATTTGTAGTAATCTATACTTTTTTTTTTTTTTTTTAACATCTTTGTAAACCACTGCTGCCTCCTGTTCCTCCCCTGACAGAGGTACCTGGAAGACCCCTGTGCCCTGGCCAGCACAATCCTCTGGTTTTTGGGGAAAGAAAAAGAAATCCTTCAGAGTGCTGAACTTGCTGAACAGGTACTTCTGATGTACATGATGTATCGTGACATACTGCATTCTGACTGATATTGTAGATTCTGGAAATACTGAGCACTTTCCTTCTAGTCCTTTTTGCCCCTTTTAACTTCTGTTATAATGTTCTTTTGACATGTTTTTAGAAAAAAAAAATTTTGACATTTTTTAGGAAATTCTTTTTAAGGAAAAATATTTTAATAATTTTTAAGTATCTTGGGGTCTTGTTTCACGAGTGACGGTAGGATGGAGCGAGAGATTGACAGGCAATTTAGAAAAAAAAATTTTTGAAATTTTTTAGGAAAAATGTTTTTTGACATTTTTTTAAGGAAAATATTTTAATAATTTTTAAGTATCTTGGGGTCTTGTTTCACGAGTGACGGTAGGATGGAGCGAGAGATTGACAGGCAAGTTTTTTGAAAAATTTTTGGAAAGTTTTTTTAATTTAATTTCTAGAAAAATAAAATAACCATTTTTTCTAGAAATTTTGTTTTTTGAAAATTTTATAGAAAACATTTTTTTTCAAATATTTTTTTCCCAGAGGAAAAAATTCCACCCAGCGGGACAGGACCCGAGCGCCTCCCGAGGTAGGCGTCCGGTCCCTCTGGGAGGAGACCTAGGGGAAGACCTAGGACACACTGGAGCAACAATAAACAGGAGGTCTGATGGAGAACATAATGTTCACAAAGGTTATTCTTGCAAGATGGACTTTCAGAGCAACATACAGTATGGATGCTCAGCTAGTTTCAGTCTCAGCTGTGTTTCCTGTTGCGGTGCTATCACGTCAGATAGCAATGACCTTGGGTCGGGCTACTCCTCAATCCTGCCTTTGTACCATCTGTACCTTTCTCCCACATAATCATGGGAAAAACAAGTCACACCGTGCAGTTCATCCAAATATAATATAATATAATATAATATTTGATAATATACCACACATATTGGTTACACTTTATTTCATCGTTTTTTCTGTTAATACCTTTTGTGTAGTTTATTTTTTTTTCTTTTGTAAAATTTCTGCTTTTTAACCAATTGTTATATTATTTATAAATAATATTTATTATAATTTTTTTTGTGTAAGTTTTTAACATTTCTGTCCCATCAACTTCTCTTGCATTATTAAGAAGGGGATTCCCTGTTCTGTACTTTCAAAAGTGTCTCAGTGTGTGGGAAAAGGAACAGAAAGACTTTCCACCGGGCAGTTCAAATGTTTTGACTGATACCTTAACATGTTTCACTCTGTCTCCTGTGAGACGCTGGCTGTAATATCAGTACTCACTCCCACGCCTGTATTTGTCATGTGTCTCAGGTCCAGCACTTGTGCGTTGAGCCACAAATCATGGAGACAAACAGCCAGCAGGACCTTGAACGAAAAATGGCGTGTCTCAGGAGTGACGTGCAGGTGCAGCTGGTCGGGAGTTGAACTTGTGTTCTGTTTGAAGTTGACGCAGTCGTTCACCTTTTAACTCTTTTCGCTACACAGTGCATGGAACATACGATGATATGTCTGGAGGAGCAGCAGGATGAGTTTGATTTTAAGTACCAAACCCACAAGATGGAAGGTGAGCAGAGGAGGTTTTGGTTTGACTGTTGTCAGTGATCACGGTGGCAGCTTCTCCCTTGTTGTGGTTTATTTGAATGGAAACTGTGAACCTCACTGTAGAAACTGTCCACAGCTGTTGTAGACGAGGCCGTGAACAGAGCTCAGATCCAGATGCTTCAAGTTCTCGTCAACAGACTGAACGAGTGCAGGAAGGTACGGCGTTGACTCATGTGTGAATAACAGCTTCACGACTTCGATAACAGGCCGACGTTGATGACATTTCTCCCTTTTATAGAATACGTTGCTTGACATAAATAAACTCCTGGATAAAGCCATGGACCTTATCAACATACTGGTGAAAAAGGAGCTGATGGAGTGGCAGAGGAGGCAGCAGAAGTCCTGCATCGGTTCTCCGGGCGATGTTTCCCTGGATCACCTGGAGAAATGGTAACGTCCACCTCTGCCTGCTGCACTGCAGTGTCTTACAGTTACACAGACATGAGACAGTTCTCCCTGGAAGTTGTTGCATTTACAAATGTTATGTTTGTAAATGGGAGATCCTGTGGATGAGAAGGATTGAACTCTCTCCGTTTTGCCTCCTGTTGTGCAGGTTCACCTGTGTGGCACTTTGTCTGTTCCAAGTGCGAGAGTTTCTCAGTAAGCTGGACGAGCTGGTGGAAAAGGTTTCCTATGAAAATGATCCGATAAGAGCTCAGAAACCCGTTTTGCAGAAGAGAACCGATTCTCTCTTGGAAGAACTACTGAAAAGGTTTCACTTAGAAAAAAGCCCGAAAAATTACTTTCAGTTTTTCTCTGTTTCGTCTCATTTTTTTTTTTTTTTTTTTTATCCTGAAGTTCTTTTGTGGTTGAAAATCAACCTTCCATGCCTCAGGGTAAAGGGCCTCTGGTTCTCCGCACTAACATCCAGTTCTGTGTTAAGACCAGGTCAGTGCAGCTTCGTCTCTTACATCATTTCCTCATACACTGTATGTGGACACTGTACATCCAAGTCTGAAACCTTAACTAAACCTCGTTCCTCTCAGGCTTCTTGTCACGTTTCCTGAACTGAACCATGTCATGAAAGTAAATGTATCAATGGAACGGTGAGTTCTAATCTGTACCTACAGTACAAACCCCTCCAAAAACAACCCCTGCTACACACACACACACACACACACCTACACAATCGAGTGTGTGTATATATATATATTGCGCTTATTACATGCAAATATATTTCATGTGAAATGAATAACAATATGTTTTAAATGTCCTCTTGAAAATAGGGAGACTCCTCCGATTAAAGGGTGAGTTTGTTTTTTGTTTTTTTGTCATTTTCTAACTCTCATATCAGACTATGGCCTGTGTTGACATTTAACACTTGTTTTTTTGTTTTTTTTTTTATGTGAACCTGATGTTTTTGCAGATATCGGCGCTTTAATGTCCTGGGAACCGACACCAAGGCCTTGAACATGGTAGAGAGCCAGAGCAGAGGCATGGTGGCAGACTTCAGACATCTGGTGAGTGACAAGGAATTTAAAAAAAAGTTAAAGTCTTTGTCATAAATACTCGATGTTGTACAATGTATTTGTGAGTAAAATAAGTATTTGTAACTACAGGCAAAAAAAATTTAGTTAGAAATTATTATTGAAAAAAACCTAATTAAAATTATATATTGTGATTATAATACACGTCATGCACTGTAATGTAATATATATTGCATATATTATATTATAGTAACACAATGTCTGGACCTTTTTATGTCCATCATGAGCAGGATGTGTCTTATTTATGGACAGTCAGGTGGATTTAAAAATGTTCAGCTCAAAACAAACAAAAGTTTCAATTCCTCTACCGAGGTACGCAGTGTTTGTGATGAATTTGTGTCTTGTTGTTGGTCTGTAGACTCTCAAGGAGCAGAAGTCTGGAAGTGGCGGCAAAGCAATGAGTGATGTAAGTGGACCGGGAAGGTACATTTAAAAAAAACAAACAATGTAAAATATTCACATTATTAATATAAAAAATATATAATATTGGTTGTGTGTGTGGATGCAGATTTCCCTCAGTGTCACAGAAGAGCTGCACATCATCAACTTCCACACGCGGTTTGAGCTGAAAGGTTTCTCAGTCAACCTGCAGGTGTTGTTTCCCTTTTTTTTTTGATCGTATTTATGTCGATGTTATGAGTCACAGAAATATTGATTTTGTTTTGTTTTTTCCCCCCAGGCCTCATCTCTCCCAGTTGTTATCATCTCAAACTCCAGCCAGCAGCAGAGTGCCTGGGCCTCGGTCCTGTGGTTCAACATGCTCAGCCAAGACCCCAAGGTGAGCAAAGCCAGTGATTCCTCACTAAAGTTTAACGCCCTGCTGTTTAGCGCACAGTCTGTGGAGAACTTTAGGTGAATCTCTCTGTGTCCCCTGTCGAGTGGGTGCAGTGTGTAACAGTGAGCGAGCACGAGCACGAGCACAAACGATTCATGAATCACCTCTTATCTGGAATGCTAACAGCATTAGCATCACATCCACTGACAGGCACAGAGGGGGAGCTGAAATGAAGTTGGGCGTCGAGCGCCCTCAGCTGGACCAAAAGGAAACTACTTCAGAGACTTTATCTTCAATTTTGTTTCAAATTCGAACTTTATTTGGAAAATTGGAACAGGCAGCTCAAGTACCAAAAAATTATTATTTAGCACAACTTTACAGTTTTTATTTTCTTCATAATGTCAGAAGGAATTAGTATCAGATTTTTTTTTTTTTTTTTACTTTGAAATGTGTTTCCAGGACGTCATGTTCTTCGCCACCTGTCCAACAGCCACATGGACA